GACCTCTAGCCACTCCGGTATGCCCCAGGCTCTCCACCCCAGAGACTGGAGGTCCTAGGGTATCCCCTGAACCCGACTGTGCTCCTGGGGCCCCTGTGTGCCCCTGGGCCCCTCACCCTAGGTCTCAAGGATATGGAGGACTGAGAATTCCCTCCAGAGAGGAAATCCTTCTGACCCAGGTTGTCTTCCGGACAGCGTGCAACCCACAGCCCGGATCCTGGACGGCGCGGGGGGGGGGGGGGGGGGGGGCGGGGACGTCTATGAGCCCCGCCGTGAGCACCGGATCCGGGAGAGCCCGGATCTCTCAGCTCCAAGTGCGTGCGGGGCCCGGGATGCGGGAGCCCCAGCAGCCATTGCTCTCCCCACGAAGACGCCACGAGAGCGCCAAGGCCTCGGTTCCAGGAACCCGGAGCTCTAGGGCCCTCTATGCTGGGGTCTCCGCGTACTCGAGTCCCGCGGACCCAGACCTCCCGTCCAGGCGTGTCTCTGCGCGCACTGCCGGGAAGGGAGCCCCAGGCCCCCGCACGGAGCCCAGCCAGCTCCCGCCTCCTGCTCACCATGGCTGCGGCGGTCGGGACCCGTCGCGGCCCTCAGACAGGAGGCTCTGGCCCGGCCCAGGCTGCGCCGTCTCCCGGCAACCGATGGGCGGTCCCGCGCGAAGTCTCGGCGATCCTCGCGAGACTCGGCCGGCCGCGCAAGCTCCTAGCGACGGCGGAGGTGAGCTCCTAGCAACGCGCCCCGGCGGTACCCCCGGCCGCTGAGTCGTCCCGCTCTTCCCGGCAGCCGTGGCGGGGGGTGGAACCCCGCGCTTCGTCTCCCCGAAGTTCCTGAAGGCGGTTGGTTGCGGGCTTCTGCTTGTCTCCCCGCCCAGAACCGAAGCTCCGTGAAGCGGGGGAGCCTCTGGGTCCGCGGCTCACCTCCAGCGCCCGCGGCACGGACCACACGCAGGTGCTCGGGGAAGATGCCTCCCGCGAAGGACTGAGGCAGGGAGGACCGAAGCAGCTGCCCCGCAAGGCTCCCAGGCGCCGTCCAAACTAGATTCAAATTCGGGCTGAAATTATGCCCCTGGGCCACACCCCGCCCGAGCCACCTGCTGTCCCGGTGAGCAGGGAGGACAGCTGGGGTTCTGCAGACCGCCAGAACCAAACATGGGACAGAAGCGTATTTTCCATCTGGCTCTGAAGGGTTGAAATCCGCAAGTGGCTCCTTCTCAAAAATAAAGTGCTCTCCCTGAGGAGGCCTCCTCTGTGGCCCCTGCCCTCATGGCGAGGACAGACCAGAAGCCTCTGCCACAAGTTTCCAGACAGGCACTGCAGAAGAAAGGGGAGTTTGGACGTTCCTTTCCTAACCTCTTGCTCTGAAAACCGCTAGTCATCATATGATTTCGGAAGCGAATTTCACGCTATTACCTCCATGCGTCGCTCTGTGTCACCCAGAAAGCTGGGAGTGGCCATCTTTACACAGTATTTGTCCTCTTTCTGTCCACACCCTCGACATTAGCATCTTCCTAAATAGTGGTTTTGCAGCAGGTCATGTTTTCCCTTCTGTTTGGGGATAGAGAAGATCCAGAATCTCCTCTCTCTGAAGAGTTGCATTGAGGAGAGAGTGTGAGTACTGAAGAAGGGCTTGGGTGGGCTTGGATCGGCCAGCCCTGCCCAAGGAGGAAGATGCCTCGTTAGCTGGGCTTGCTTCGGCCCCAGCACACACACAGGGGCAGGGATCTGAGAGCCAAGGAGGCTGAGAGCCTCCTTAGGGAGGACCCTAAGGGGCTTCTGCTTGCCCAGCCAAGGTGGGGCTTGCCAGCCTGGAGGCCATAATGAGGTCTGCTCATGTCACTGTGCCTGGGCAGCCAAGAGCCCTCGCCGCTGTGCCAGACACCACGGGCCTGATAGGGGCCTCCTCCCCCAGTGCCAGGGCCTCCCAGAGGAGGGTTGGCAGGCGAGACCGTGCAGCTGGGTAGCACGGAAGGGTAATGACTGTTATTTAACACTTACTCTGGCCAATGCAATATGCTGGATGCCACATGCTGATTGGCTTTTTTGCTTTAGAAGTCTGGGGTCTCTGAATTAAATAAATGCATTAACATTAACTCCTCTCAGCAAAAAGGGCAAGAATAAGAGGGTTAGCTAAGGATAACAAGACAGGGAATTCATTTGTCAAAACCAAGAGCGTTGCTTAGTTTATCTGTATGGATTGCAGAGATGAATAGGCCCAGTGAGCCCTGCTGACAACTCCCTGGGCTCCTGACAGGACCCACAGTGACCTGTGCTTTTCATATTGGATTTGAGTTCAGATTCTTAGAGAAGAGCCTTTTTTCTTCACATGTGTGGCTCAAGATACTTTCATTCAGCATCAAGCTGTGCAGCTCTGAAGCCCAGATAAATGGCGTCTGAGTTCCTGCAAAATCACAGAGCAAATGTTGACCCACACAAACTGACCGTGTCTTGACGTCTGGCTCTTCCTAATGCCTGCTTGCTTGGTGGTCAGCTAACTGGCCCCAGGCCACTACATCAACTCAACAGATGCTTGGATGGTAGGGTAATAGAGTCCTTAAGAAGACTGGACTCTCTCTCCCTCTCTCTCTATGTGCCAAATAAATAAATAGATAAATAAATCTTTAAAAAGAGAACGAAACAATCTAGCAGTGGAGGGAGGTGATTGATAGTAGGGAGGAAACAAGATCAGCCATGAGTTGGTAACTCTTGAATCCCGGTGATGGGGTAATGGGTACATGGAGGTTAATCATGCTATTCTCTCTACTTTTGTTTGAAAATGTTCTTGATGAAAAGGTAAAAATAAATAAACACTGGCCTCTGGAATCACCTGCTGCTTACCAGCAGGGATGCCTTTGACGAGACCGGCTGAAGCACCTATTCATCTCTCAAATGGGGATAATTATTAAACAATTGCTATTACCGTTGCTTTGACTGCCTAAGAGGTCACCCCCCAAAAGTAGTGGTTTAATACAGTGACAACATCTCTTTTGCTCATGAATTTATACCTCAGCCAGGACTCGGTGGGACAGCTCACCTCAGCTCCACAGAACACCCCCAGAGAGGTGGCTCAAAGGTGGGGTCTCATGTCTGCCCATTGGATGAAAGACTTAAGTCCAGCCTGACGGCTACTGCCAGCCAGAACACACCCAGGTGGCCTCTCTAGTGGCTTGGGCTTCCTCACACAGGTGGCCACGTTCCAGGGGTCCTCCTGAGGGAGTGCTGAATCAGAAGTCACATGGCATCATTTCTGCCATACTCTATGGTCAGAGCCACCTCTGGTCAGAGCCACCTCAAGCCTCACCCACGTTTTATAGATGGGGGAATGCCTTAATGGGAGTGGAAGGTTCTGGAAGTGGAATTGGAAATATGGCTCCAGGAGCACCTGGGTGGCTCAATGGGTTAAAGCCTCTGCCTTCTGCTCAGGTCATGATCCCGGGGTCTTGGGATTGAGCCCCACATCGGGCTCTCTGCTCAGCGGGGAGCCTGCTTCCCCCTCTCTCTGACTGCCTCTCTGCCTGCTTGTGATCTCTCTCTGTCAAATAAATAAAATCTTTTTTAAAAATAAATAAATAAATAAATATGGATCTGACCGTTTGGAGAACTACAGTCTGCCACCCCCATCTGACTCTGAACAGTCACTGGCCACCCACTGTCCCAACTCCCCAGGGCACTCCTTGGCTTCCTCATGTCCCCATCACCCACCCTGTAACTCAGGTTCTTCCTCGAGAGGCCATTCTCTGCAGCTTTGGGGTCACGGGGAGGCCGTGGCTCATGACAAGGGCTAGTTCTTTCATGCTAGCAGGGCATGAAATCATTTAGAAAACTATAGACTGCGGCTTTCACTTGTTTTGTAAGCTAGAAAAAAAAAAGAAAAAAAGAAAGAAAAAGAAAAAAAAGAAAAGAAAAGGGGTGGGGGGAGACTATCAGCCTGACAGTCTCAAAGGCTGTGGGTTCTGTGTGACTGGACTGGGGTGGGCACTGAGGGCCTTGGTTGGCTGAGGCTGTATGGACGCCTCCCTCTGAGAGGCTGCCTTCATGCAAACACCAAGTTCATACCCACCTCCCTCCTCTGGGGGCCTTTTTCACTCCCAGCCGGGAACAAACTCTTGCTCCCTGATTTTCTTTGGTTTGGTTTGGTTTTATAAAAGTGCCGTCTTTGGGCTTGGATTCAGACCCTTTGGATTCCAGTGCCTGGCTGTGCAACCTCGGTCAGCTCACCTAACCTCTCCGTACTCAATTTCTTCATCTGGAAAACCAGGACACGGTCTTCTTAGGACCTCTGGGGGAATAACTGAGATATTGTGCGCAAAGAGCTTGGGACAGGGTCCCATTCCAGGGGCTCGTGTGTCGTTCTCAGCGCGCCCAGACCCTTGCCTTCCCTCCCGGGGCGCTCTCCCTGCCCGCTCCCATCTTCCACCTACGGCCCCCTCCCGCCTCATCATTAAGCTCTCGCCCAGCCCCACCCGCAGTGTTCGTGGTGGTATTCATCACAATCTGCCATTTTTTGCTTAGCGGACAAGGGTGTGGGGCGCCGCCTTTGCTGCTCCTCGGTGCCTCCTCTCCACCGGCCCACGAGGCGCCGGCACGTAGCTAGCATCCCACAAATATCTGGGGGTGAACAAATGGACCGAAGCTGGCGCGGCTGCGGGAGGAGTGAGCGCGCTGGGGGCGCGGAGGGTGCCAGGGTTGGGAGGCCGCCGCCGGATGCCGGGGGTTGCGCAGCCCGGGAGGTCGGCGGGAGAGGTGGTCCGCGGGGCGGGGCCGGCAGGGGGCGCGCGCGGGGCGGGGCGGGGCCGCACCTGTGCTTCGGGGCTCCGGGGGGAGGATGCTAGGGGGAACCCGGGCCCCGGAGCAGCTGCGCGCCCCGCCCCGCGGGCTCCTCCCTGCCGTCGCGGCCCCTCGGCTGCTGCCCGATGCGCTGCGCCTGGAGCTGGGGCCGAGTCGCCGCCGCAGCTGCAGGGGCGCCCGGGCTGGGTGACGCCGCCGCCGCCCGCGCCCCTCCCAGACCCCGCCGGCCGCATGGAGCCCCCGGAGGGCGCCGGCCCGGGAGGTGAGTGCGGCCCCAAGTCCCCAGGAGTCCCCGAGCTGCGCCTTCCCCGCAGCCAGCCGCAGCCCCTTCCCCCTGCCGCTCGCCCCCGGCCCTCACCGGCCGCTCCCGGGCGCCGCACAAGATGCCCGCTAGCTCCGAACTGAGCCTGGCCGGAGCCGGAGGAAGCCCGGCGTGCCGTGAGGGGAGCCGGGCCGGGGGTACCTCCCGGGAACGGCCCCCGCTTTAGGCGGGGGGCACACACATCGCGTCCCCGCCCCCTTGTCCTCTGCGCTCAGTCCCGACAGCCGCCAGGCGCGCTCCTGGGCGGTTGGTCCGGAGTTTCGTGCTGAACCCCAAACCAGCAGTGCCGGGGTTCCGGGTGGGGGGGTCTGGGCATGGGGCGTGTCTGGGCAGTAGTTTGGGGTCCAGCTCCGCGAGGCCTGCCGGTGGACGCTGCCCTCCGGCGCCGCTCCTCTGCTTTGTTCGCCCCAGCAGTTCTCCGCCTAGGGCTAGGGCAGGGACGCCGCCGCCGCCGCCGCCGCCGCCGCCGCCGCCGCCGGGACTATGCGGGGCACCGCGCCGGGACCGGGCCTGGGGAAAGGGGGGCGTTGCACCCGGCACGGCCTGCGGGGTAGCCTGCCCCACGCTTGCAGGGGGTTGTCGGCCTGGGCGAGGCCCAGGGGCGCCCACAGCTGGGAGCGCAGGTGTGCACGGAGAGGGGCCTCCTCGAGTCCCCTGTTGGCTCTCGGTGACTCTGACGCCTGGGATTCTACCTAGGTCTCCCTCTTTGGAGTCTGGCTCTGGCAGGGCAGCAGCTGGTAACGGCAGGAAAACTAAGAACCCCCACCTCAAGAGTCCTTTCCCGGAAGCGTGTTCCGGCGCCATCAGCACGTCCACCGGCCTGGCTAGGCCCCAGATGCATCATGGGTTTCCTGGAGGTCCCATCCCGGGGAGCCTCTCTTGACCACACAGGGACCTGCGGAGGGACCCCAGCCACATTGGCGACCTCATCTGGAGCCCAAAGGGATGGCCCCCGGGGGGGTGTCCTCAAGCAGTGGGCCCACCCACTGCTGTCTGCAGTCTGAGCTGGGCAGGTGCAGTCCAGACAGCCGAGGGCCCTTGTCACCCACCCGGCAACCACCACCAGACACATCCGAGCTGGTGGGTGTGGGTTTTCTTTGTCACTTGTTTAAGGGATCCAGCTTTTTCTTGCCATTGACAGTCCCAGGACCCCAGGACTTCCCAGTGGTAGGTATGCGGGGATGTGATGGGAAAGGTTTGGAGGGCAAAGGCTGGGGAGCACAGAGCTGAGCAAATCAGCCCGGCCCTCAGTTTCCATATCCACTTCTGTCGGTGGGGACAGACTCACTTTCCCCGCAGCGCTGTGGGAGCCCTGAGTGAGATAAGGGGGGGGAAGGGTTAGGGAAGGGGGTTAGGGAAGAGGGGCTTCGTGATCCTCCAGTTTCTCTCTCTCGTTCCACGCACAGATCTGTATTCACAGGGGCCTACTCAGTCCAGGTGTGGGGGTGGGGTGGGAGCCTGGGTGGGGGGGAGGCGGGGCACACCGAGAGGCCTCATACTCTGTGCAGCCATTTCCTGCCTAAACAGTGGCCTGGCAATCCCCATGCCAAGGGAGCTCACAAGATCTTGGATGGACGGCTGTGACTGGCATTCTCTCAGGTCACTGACTTGTGACAACTTTGTTTTGGAGTATGGAGAACACACAAAAAAGTAGAACAATGTGGCAAAGCTCCATGTGCCACCTGCCAGCCTGCTCAACCAGACCACCCCCCGCCTCCCTTCAGTAGTGGTTTGTAGCCAGGCTCAACATATTATCTCATCTCTAAGTATTTCTGAAATATCTCCAAAAGATAAGGTTTTCATAGAACATAATGAAAATCCCATTTTTGCACCTAAACAAAGTACCAATAATTTCTTATTATCAATGTGTGCAGATATGCAGATGAGAAGGGAGGCACTGTGCTTCTTGAAGGACCCCATCTGGGGCCTGTGGTAAACCAAGGTTGTAGACCCACCCAACTCCACGTCTATCCGGACAGCCACAAGGAAAGCAAGGCCATGGCCCCCCACTCAGGAGGCTGCACCTTGGCAGGGCCCACCCAGCATCCTGGACATCCATGGATGAGGGGCAAGGGAAATGGGGGACAGATACCCGTGTCTGTGACCCTCTCTGCCTCCCCACTGCCATTTTGTTGTATATGCTAATCATTTATTCACTTCATTAACTTGTTCATCTGTTCGTGCAGAGAACCTCCTCAATGCTTAGGGCAAGGCCCAGGGCACACAGCAGGGAACTTAAGATTTGGGCCAAGTTCTCACACAAATGTGCTGGAAAATAGGTCAGCGGCCTAGTGCAAGGTAACCCTGTCATACCCACTCACATGAGCCATCGGTGCCGGGGCAGAACATGGTAACCCAGCTGCAGTCCCCGTGGGGTGCTGCTTCGCGGCCTGCACAGGTCAGGGCAGCAGTGGTCCCTGCAGGGGCTTTATGGGGGTTGTACTGAGCAGAGAATCTCGGTGTTGCTCCCCCACACCCTGGCCCCAGGTGCCCCCACCCTTGCCTGCCTCCATGATCACTCCTGCTTCATACCCCAGGAAGAGCTGTGGGTCTCACCTATGGACAGGTGATTCCTACCACAGCCACTTAGAGACGATGGGGTGGGGTCTTGGCCTTGTTCATTCGACAAACATTTATGATGCACCTACTGTGTCAGGACCAAGCCTAGGTCCTAGAGGTCACACTTCGTTTACCCATTCCCAGCCTCTGAGCCTGGTGCCTGGCACATAGTAGGTGCACAAGAAAAGTGAGTTGATGTCTCAGGTCCTCCTGGATTTGCCCTTCAATTTCATCCAAAATCAACCTTTGTTCCCACTGAGGATTTCTTTTGTCCTAAAATTCACCCTTTTACAGCATATAGTTCATCACCTTTAGTATATTTCCAAAACTGTGCAGCCACCACCACCACCATCACCTGTGAGGATACTTTCATCAACCAGAAAAGTAGCCCCGTAGCCGAGTCATCACCCCCATCCCACACACAGCCCAGCTCCTAGAGACTGCCTCTATCTACTGTCTGTATCTTTTCTGATCGACTCCTCTACTCTGTGCTTTTGCTGTCCTGGACATCTCGTGTTACGGTAATACACGGCCTTTTGTGACCGGCTTCTTGCACTTACCATGATGCTTCCAAGATTCAGCCATGTTGTAGCCTGTGTCTGTGCTTTCTTTTCTTTTTTACGGCTGAGTAACACCCCTTGTGTGGACGGGCCACATTTGGTTTCTCCATCACCCATGATGCCACTGACCGTAGATGCTTGGCTGGTTCAGGGATGTTGACATTTGTCAAAATGTGCTTCTTACAGTTAGTACGGGAAGTGAGGCCCCCGGAGACCCTGAAGCCCACCATCCACGGTGGTGCTTGCTCCTCACCCTGTCTCAGCACCTACAGACATCCTTCCCACCGAGCCTGCAGCTCACAAAAATGGAGGTAGATGTCCTACTCAGCTCAGAACCCTTCAGCAGCTTCTCCCAGCACACGCAGAACAGCAGAGTCCTGATGACTTCTGTGGATGTGTATCCCCTGCCCTTTCCCCCTGCCTCACCTGTCACCACAGCCCATGGGCTTGGAAGCGTCTCAGAATCAGAACAGCACAGGCCAGCGTGATGTGAGCCCATCATACACGCTCAGAGGGCCCAGGTGCTATATTCCCCCACTCAAGGAAACAAAGCAGGTTCCCACAGAGTGAAGACTCCTCAAGGACTCTCAACAGAAATGGCTGGTCAGAGGTTCAAGGCAGTGGCCTCTGCTTACCCCAGCTCAGAGCACAGTCTGACCTCTCTCGTGCCCTCTGGGTGTCAAGGTGTCCTTGCTGGGCTGGGCAGGCCGGGACACTGGTGGGTGTAACTCTACCCTCCCATGATACTGAGAAGTCACGTTCCAAATGCATTAGAGAGGTGGAAACCAGATCCCCTGAGCCGCGTCCAGCCTGGCCAGCCCCAAACCCCTGTGATGTGGATAGCATGGGCGGGTCCCCAGCCCCATCTTCCCCCAGAGGGTGGAGCCCTCCTACAAGAGGCCAGCCGATGCCCAGCCACCTCTGTGGCTGTGAACAATGGCTTATCTTCCTACTGAGCTGGAGACCCTCTCGACAAAGGACCTGGGCATCCTGGCTGCTGACTGCACTGCTGAGTTTTCGGAAGGCCCATCCCTGGCCAGCAGCTATCGGCACTGGGGGCCCAGTTGGGCTCCCGTAGACAAGACTGCCATGGACCCTGGTGCATCACAGAGCACTGGTTCACTCTTTATGGGGCCACAACGGGGTCATGGGGGAGCCACAGGATCCAGCTGCTTCAGGGGACATGCCTGACAGGTTTTCTGGCTGAGTTCAGGGAGTGATAAGGTGAGGCAGCAGGAGGGGGAGATGGGGTTGGGCTCTGGAACATTCTGGAGGAACTGGTAGGAAATAAGGATGGAGGGATGTGAGCTAAGAGGTCAAGGGGTTGGCCCAACTGACAGAAGGGTGGGGCTGGCGCTTCTAGGGGGCAGGGGTCCATCTCTGAGTGCCAGTCTCTTCCAAGCAGATTGCCCACAGGGCCTACTCCTGTCAACTAAAATAATAAAAAAAACGTTAAATATTTAAAAAACGAGCAATTAAATCTTTCCCAAAAAATTACATAGAAAAAACCTAGAGCAGGGGCACCTGGGTGGCTCAGTGGGTTAAGCCTCTGCCTTCAGCTTGGGTCATGATCTTGAGGTACTGGGATCAAGCCCACATCGGGCTCTCCACTCAGTGGGGAGCCGGCTTCCTCCTCTCTCTCTGCCTGCCTCTCTGCCTACTTGTGATCCCACTCTGTCAAATAAATAAATAAAATCTGAAAGAAAGAAAGAAAGAAAGAAAGAAAGAAAGAAAGAAAGAACGAAAGAACGAACCTAGAGGAATATTCTCCAGTCTCTTTTACTATGAAAATAAGTCATTGTGCATTCAAACAGAACAGGGATTTTTACAAGAAGTCCATCCACAGAGGACAGAGAGGCAAGCAGGGTCCATTCTGGATCAGAGACCCAAAAGGCAAGGAAATGCCAAAGTGACCACTAAAAGTAGAGACAGATGACAGCGTTGGACACCCTCTTGCTCATTCCACCCAGTGGCCCCTGTCTGGGATCCCAGCCCCAGATTACCCCAGGCAACCCTGGTCACTGCCCAGAGCCTCCAAGGAGGATTCGGAGAGCCAAGAACTCACGTCTTCCCCTCCAGCCTCTGTCCTCCCAGGTAACACAGTCTCTTTGTTGCAGAAATAGTTAAGGACGTGGAGGCACCACAGGCAGCCCTGGGCACCCTGGCCCATGGGAAAGGGGACAGCTGCCACTCGCCCACAGCTGAGGAGGAGGTGGGCATCCCAATACCAGCCCCGGGGCTCCTGCAGGTCACAGAGAGGAGGCGTAAGTACAGCGACCTGCCCAGCGTGTGCTCCACAGGGACCATGAGCCCCCTGGGAAATGGGCGTCAGGGTCCACATCCTAAGCAGACACGCCCCCAGCTGTGTGGGTGGGGAGGGGGCTGCTGTGGCTGAGCTCTTACAGCTCAGGCCCTGTGGGCCTTGGCTACACTATCTGCAAAATGGGGGCCCCCAGAAGGCATTTAGTCTAGAGTGTGGAGAGCAGACGGGTGTCTGGGTCTGCCCCATCTTAGCCCGACCCTGTGGGGCTTCACCCAGAGCTCTAGTTCTTCCCCAGGCTCCATCGGCGGTGGGGGGAGGGCGCTGGTCCCCGGCCGGACTGTGCCTGTGACGAGCACCCCCTTCCCCTGCCCTGCAGAGCCCCTGAGCAGCGTCTCCTCCCTAGAGGTGCACTTTGACCTCCTCGACCTCACCGAGCTGACTGACATGTCCGACCAGGAGCTGGCCGAGGTCTTTGCTGACTCAGACGACGAAAGCCTGGCTGGGGAGTCGCCAGCAGGTGGGCTGGAGTTGGGGTGTGGTGAGCAATGTGGGGCAGTCCTGGGGCCCAAGCACATGGAACACGGCTCTCCACAACCCCTCTTTTTGGAAGTAATTTTCACACCTGTGTCAGAATTGGTGCTTGCCACTGTACCATCTCATTCAATATTTTTGCATTTTACATGTCTATTTGCCAAACTGGAAGGAATTTTCCTCCTGCCTTCCTCAATTTTCCTTTCCAAATGCCAAAAGGCCCAAGTCATAGTCCCATCAAAAGCAAAATTTACTACATGTGAATTTAATCACAAGTTAGACAAAGCAAAGTGGGGTGGCCTTCATCATTTCTGGCCCCACAGCTCAGGCCTCAGTTTCCCCTTCGGTTCGCAAGGAAATGTTGCCCTTCGTCCCAGACCTCGAGGGCCCCGGAAATGGCAAGACCACCAGTGGGTGTGGGGACCCAGCGACCTTCTCTCCCTTCTCACACTCTGTTCGGGGTGGGGGTGGAAAGGGGGTGCTCAGATCCCACCCCTAGAGAGCCTGCACCCTGGGAGGGCGATGGGGCAGCTAGCTGCTAGGGCCCGGCTCACACCCAGGGTGGGGTCTCAGCTGCACAGGGACCCTCCCTGAGCATCAAAAAAGCCTCTGCCCAGGCTGCACCCAGACCCACAAGTCCACGCTGTTGGTGGCCTGGCACCTGTGTTTTCTGAGCACTCAGGGGATCCCAGCATGTGGCCAGGCGCATACAAGCCCAGCCCCGTCGCTGCAGGAGCGACCTGACCCCCGTGTTCCCATCAGGCCTGCACCCGCTGCCCAGGGCCGGCTGTCTGCGCTCCCCCTCCTGGACACGAACCAGGGCCGAGCAGAACCGAGAGAAGCAGCCACTTGGTGACCCAGAGCACCGGCCAGCGATTGCAGACACATTTCTTACCGTGGAGAGGCCCAAGGAGGACTAGGCCAGCTGGCCCTGGGGCCAAGGCAGTGCCCATCTGGACAGTTCCGACCCCTCGGACATTCTGCCCACCCCATGTGGCTCTGGGCCAGGTTCTTGGGGTGCTCCAGCACAAGCACAGCCCAGTGGCCTTATGTCCCGCTCCCTTCCAGTCCTCGGATCAGGGACAACGGACCTGAGGAGGTGGGAGTGACCTAGGCCTCTTGGAAACTTCTGTCCACAGGACTGGTGCTCTCATCTGCCAGAAGATTCCCGAGTGGGTGCGGGGTGAGGGGGACCTACGCCAGAGAGAGCTTCTCTGCAAAACCCCCAGGGTCTCAGGGTTCCGGTCTGGGAATGGGCACACCATGCTCTGGCCCATGGGATACTCTGATATCCAGCCAAGAATGTGGGTAGGGGAGTCCGTCCTGAACACCACCACCTTCCTTTCAATCCCATCCTCTTCCAGGGTGCATCACTGGCACCGGGGCCTCCTCCCCAGACCCTAAGACCCTGCTCGTCTTAGTTCCTGTGGGACAGCCGGGCCCACCATCCTCGGCTCCGAACACCTAATGTGGCACGACCACCTCAGACTGTGGGTGGGGGAGTAGGCACGCGGGGTCTGCCCTTGGCAGGGACACATCCCCACAGCCTATCAAAAATGCACACAGAGGCATGCACAGCCCTAGATCTGTGCCCCTGGCTAGCGTCCTCACCTGGGGTAGCACAGCCCGAGGGGGGCTTGGAACATGCGGGACCCCCAGCACGGCCCCCAACTTAGAGGGCACCAGGCTCAGCTGCTCCAACTGCCGCTTTCTATGACCTAAGGGACTGGAGAGGCTCTGGTCTGACAGCAAGTCCAAGAAGTTTTCAAATAAATGTGTGAGTTTGCTTTCGGTGCCCAGGCCAACCTGCCCTGACCCATTCCCCACTCACACACTTCTAGGGAAGGGAAACCTGTTCTGCTGTGGCCCTGGGCGTGCCCTCGGCCCGCTTGGCACAGTAAATGCAAGGTCCCCGCTGAGAAAACAGGCCTCAGAAATGCTGAGGGACTTTGCCTGCACCCTCTACACCATGAGCACCAATTCAAAGGGACTTTTACCGGGCATCATCCGTAAGTCCGCTTAAAATCAAATCCCGTTAAGGGCAGCTGCATGCCCCCCCCCCCCCCGCTCCAGCATAGTGCTCCCCAGCCCCCAGCCTTCCTGCCACGGCTTCCTTCCACAGAGCTATTTACAAAAGATCTGATTAAAATCTCACCTCTTCCTAAGGCCCAAGCACAGCCTCTTCTCTTTTCCAGGTGACCCCAGCGCTCAGGAGTGAGTTCTGGGGGGCGGGGGTGGGTTGGCTGCTCAAGGAGCAGAACTTCTGCTCTGGTCTCCTCCAGCTGAAGCCACTGGGGGCTCCTCTGTGCTGCTTATTTGGGCCATGTCTCAGGGACAAGCGCCCTGGATTTCTAGGCTTTAGGAAGGGAAGATCCTGCTCCTCATCCCCCACCCCAGGCCCAGGCCTAGAAAGGCCCAAGGTGCACTCCGGCAAATCTTCCCTGCCCAGGCAGGGTCCCAGGAAGCTCCAGACCTGGAGCCCGAAGATAAGGCCTGTGAGGAGAAGGCCAAGAGTGAGGACAAAACCCCAATCCTTTGGATTACACGTGAAACAAGGGGCCCAGAGAACAGGCCCTGGGCCCCACGCCAGGCAGTTCCTCCCACCGGGCTCTCCAGAGGAAAGCCTAAGGCTCCCTCATCATGGAAGATTCCAGGCCAGGTGTCCATCCCTGGGCCTGCATCATGTGAGCCCTGGTGGCCCAAATGGGTGAAGGGAAGCCCTAAGGAGACTCAGGAGAGGTGAGCACGGGGGCATCCAAGGCAGGAGACAGCAGGGGTTGGGGATGGGGAAGCCCCCAGGTGGGCTGAGAGCAGGCCCTCAACCCCAGAGAGGGGCTGTACCAAGCCTCAAAATGAACAGGTCCCCAGGCTCTGGACAGCACAGAGCACCCTCCCCTCCATCAGAGGGAGCCCCCAGACAGGACCCCGGCAGGTCCCCCAGCAGCTCAGCTAAGGAAGGCAGAGTTTACTGGACACTTCATTACAGAATGGGCTCTGGGGATGTAAGAAATTCAATGGTGGCATGTTTTACAAACAACAAAACTTAGAAGTGCTTGTCCCAGGCTGGAAATGCTAATTTTTAGTCCAACCTCACAAATGATTTGGGAATTTTTAAACAAATGCCAGCGTCTGGTCTTGGCCAAGCAGAGAGCAGAGGTGCTATGTGGCAGCAAGTAGGGACACCCCCTCTCCAGGAGGCCCTGCACACCAGGGGTCCCGGACATACACATACCCCCCACCTGAGGGCTGACAGCCCTCTACTGCCAAGCTTCTGATACCTCTGGGAGGCAGGCTGCATGGAGAACAAGCAGGACCTTGTCCGAGCCCCAGGCCAGTCCTGACCCCCGCTGCCCGGGCTGGGCCCTGGCCACGCTCCAAGATCAACCAGACGATCCACGGCAGCAGAGGGCAAGATCTCCCAATCCAGGACCTGCTTTCTTTTGTGGGGCAGCTACCCAACACCAGGAAGAGGTTACCAGGGGCAGCAACAACAGGGCTCTCCACATACAACCCAGGGGGTCCCAGCTTAGTCCAGAGCCTCCTCTGTGATTCTAACAAAAGGGGGTAGCAGGGAACACGGCTTGCTGAAGAAGGGAATTAAATCCAGACACACCCTTGTCGGTAAAGCCACCTACCCGGGGAACAGGGGCTGCTTGGCCTAAGAAGGCGCCTCCCTCGTGCTCAGAGCAGCACCCAGGTGCTGGGTGTGCGAGTGGTTTGGGACCCCATGGCTCCATTACCCTTCCCCCAACCACACTCTTGGGCTAAGTGTGGAGTTTCCTCCAGAACCAGTGACAGGCCTTCCACCAACCCAAACAGCTGTTCCAAAAACCTAACACTTTCTCTTGGGCACTGACTTCGATCTCCCTTTTCTTTCTTCTGCCACTTCACTAAACCTTCAGAATTTCTGAACTCAGCCAAAGCCTCCTCTCCTTGGGGCAGTTAAAGAGACCAGCACTCACACTTGCCTGTGAGGCAGCCGTCCCCACCAAACCCGCCCACTACCCCCTCCCTTTGTGGGAGGTCCTGAAGGTCCAAACTCAAAACCCCACCAGGAACACACACACCCTTGGCTCCCTGGGGGGCAGGGGACTTACAGCCGCACCGCTTGCCCCGCTGACTGGGGACCAGCATCTACAACACCCATTTGCTGTTACCATGTTTTAATTTGTTTTCCAGAGATTTGGGCAGCTGCTTTCACAGCCAAGGTCACTAGGCTGTGCTCTCCTGGAGGCAGCACTCTGCACTGCCCTCCTCACGCCCCCAGCTCCAGCCCTTCAGCCCCTGGGGAAGGGAGGCGTCCTCCAGCAGGCTGCCGGTGCCTTGGTGCCTTCCACAGACTGCTCACAGAGGCCGGTTCTCCGCAGAGGGCCGGGACCCAGCAGCTCCATGTCCGCCTCGCCCAGCACCACCTCCTCCAGCAGCGCCTGCCCACCTAGAAATCACAGTTGCCCATCACAGAGCTGCTCCCAGAACAGCGGGTACTGCCACGGCAAACCCCAAGCCCAACATCCCAGGAGGACGGGAGAGCCCCAGGCCAGGACCGGCCCCACTCACCCGCTCCAGCTGCTCTCAGCACCAGGTCAGCAGATCCAGGTCCCGCCTGCTGGCGGAGCTCACAGGTGCCCCACCTGCTCAGCAACGAGCCGGCCAGTGGCCTCACCATACGGCTTCCCGACCAGCATCTCATCGGGAGAGGTCCCAGGACACCTGTCCCAGCTCTTCGCTCATCCCAAACGCACAATCTGGAAGCAAGGAGGTGGGGGTGAGCCTGGAGGGACTCAGCCATGCAGAGCCCCCAACGAGGGCGGCTACCCTTTACCTGGAGGAGGCCCTCTGGGTGACTTTCCTCAAGTCATCCTGGGCCCCTGGGTGACCCACCCAAAACACAGCTGCTCAGCCACCCTGCCCCCAGCATCATGCATATGAGGTCAAAGGGCTGCTCCCGTGTGGACAGATACTGCTCCCTGGGCAAACACTGGGCACAGCTGAGCCCTCTGCCCCAGGGGATGATGGACACCTAGAAGACACAGGCAGACAGTGCCTGTGGTCCCAGCCTCCACTCCCCATGCAGAGCTCCTGCCCCTTCCAGGTCCCAGCTCTGAAGCATCCCAGACCAATTCGCCTTACTATGATCATTGGCCACAAGGGCATGGGAGGAGAGGAGACAGACCCCTGGTCTCCACCCAGGATTTGGTGGGTCTGGGTAGAGTCACCCCAAAGATTAGCATGGAAACCACCTCCACCCTATCAGTCCTAAGGAAGTTCTCGCAGAGCCAACCTTTTGGGTCCAAAGCTTAGGAGTGAGCCAAGTTTAACATCAAATCTCTAGGGTGTCGGGTGTCCGCCATCCAGATCCCACTGGGAGTCAACACCCTGTCCCTTACTGCTACACATCCCTGAACAATCTTTTGAACCCAATTCTAAACCACTACATTCCTTGAAAAGTATAAGGGCGGCCGCTGTGAACGTACTGTGCCCTCATGACCAGAGGCCACACGCAGTCACCCGGGGAAGGTAAACACCCACACTGACCTCCAGCACGGGGTCCGCAGGATTCAGGAATCAGACCAGTGCCAAGTCTGGCCTCAGGGGAGGCCACGGTCACCCTCTCACTGGGCTGCACACCTGCGTCTTCTTCTCGAGGCCTACATATCGGATTCCCAGGCCAGTGAGAGGCAGAGGAAAAAGGGACAGCCGGGATGTGGTGCCAAATCCCCAGCCTCCACTGATGGGAGTGCTGGGAGCCGGTCAGAGCCTCTGCTCAGCCAGTGCAGACCCACAGCCCGTCCGCTACACACTCCCAGCCCCCACCAGACACTGTGTGGCCCTCCACTCCGCAGAAACCCCACCTCCCCCAGGGTGAAGACGGTGTCCCACCTCCCACACTCTGCACGTAGCACACAGCTTCAGGAGGCCTGTTCTCAGCCCATGTGATTAGCTCTCTTCTCTGGCTTGCTAAGTGACCCAGAAGCATGGAGACCAATGCCTCCTACACCCTAGCTTATAAGCAGTTATCAGTCCACAGAAAAGGCATAAACTCCCACTGGGCCCAGCTTCATGACTGGTCAGCTCAGCAGCATGGTGGGGACAAGCCTCCAGAAGCTGTGGAGACGTCCTGGGCTACCGGACACTCCACGCTTGTCTACACACGCTGCACTTCGCTAAGGAACTCAAGACACCGCAGCACCGCCGACCCGCCTGTGGTTCTCAGATCCATGAGGCTGACCGCAAAGGGCAGCCACTGGCCCCCAGGACAGCGCCCTGATGCTCGTCCCCAGGAAGGTACTCCAAAGCCCCAAACCCACGGACTGCAGCTCGCGGAGCTGCTGAGTGGGAGCCGGGAGGCCAGGCAGGTGTTGCTGGGAGGAACCACACACACCTCCACCCACCCACCTTCAGGGAACTGTCTCTGGAAGGAAGACCCCAGGGAACCCCCTCCTCCCATCTGCAGTCAGCATCAAACCAGGGCCGGACCCGCTGCCCTGGAGCCCTCATCTCTCTGAGATTCCAAATGGGGCTCTAGACACAGCATGAAAGCTGTTGCCGGATCCCCAAGTCCCAAATTCTGGTTTGGAAAACCGTCTGCAGCTCCTGTATGCTAAAGCAAAGCTGGGGCCCCGGAGTGAGCCAAAGACCAGAGCTCAAAGGCCCCCCAGCTCAAGACCGAAGACCCTCTCGGTGGCCCAGACAGAGCATTGCTCCAGGACACAAGGACCTAGGGGGTGGACGGCAGTGGGCGCGGCTTCCCCGCAGACACCAGAAATGTCAGCATCCGACCCGGGACTATGTCTTCCAGGAAAAGCTCAACTACAGAGACCACAGACAAACTAGGGAACGGCTCTGTTCATTCACGACTGTCTTAGGCCGGTTTTTTTCGTTAAGCAACTTACTGATGCATAATTTATTTAACATAAAATCCGCCTTAAGCACATACTTCAAAAACTTCTAGTAAATTTATGCAGTCACGTGCCCAGTGCCCTGGTTTCAGACATTTCCATCATCTATGTAAGATACCCTGTGCCTGGGGCGCCTGGGGGACTCAGTCGTTACACATCTGCCCTCGGCTCAGGTCATGACCCCAGGGTCCTGGGATCAAGCCATTTGGCTCCCTGCTCAGCAGGGAATCTGTTTCTCCCTCTCCCTCTGTTTGTGTGCACAAGCTCTCAATCTCTCTCTCTCTCGCTCTCGCTCTCAAATAAATAAATAAATAAATCCTTTAAAAAAAAAAAAAAAAAAAAAAAAAAAGATACCCTGGACCTGTTGTGGTCAATTCCACTATCCACCCTAGCCAACCACTCTTGTACTTTCTGTCTCCTCGGACCTGCCTGTTAGGGACATTTCATATACACGAAATCACACAGTACCCAACCTCGTGTGTCTGGCTTCTTTCACCTGGCATAATATCTGGAGGTTCACCCATACTGCATCGTGTATCCAAACATCATTTTTTATGGCTAAGTAATATTCCGTGATACATACACACGTTTTGGTTACCCATTCTTGTATCAATTGGACATTTAGCCGTGAACATTCATGTACAAGTCTTCACGTGGCCACGTTTTCAGTTCTCTTGGGTAGACACCAATGACTAGAACTGCCGGGTTAGAATACGGTAGACTAGAATTCTAGGTTAGAATTCTAGGTTAGACTAGAATACGGTAACTCTGTATTTTACTTTCTGAAGGACAAACAGATGTCTACAGCCTGTTTCACAGGCCCACCAGCAACGTATTAGGGGTCATGTGTCTCCGTGTCCCTGCCAACCCCTCTAACTTCTACAGCCATCCTGGTGGGTGTGAAGTGCTAGTTCGTTGTGGTTTTGAGTTGCATTTTCCTAATAAATAACACTCAGCATTTTTTCACATACTTTTTGGCCATTTGCATATCTTCTCCAGAAAAATGTATGTTCTAACCTTTTGCCCATTTTTAAATTGGGTTCTATATTCTGGATTCTAGACCCTGACTTATCAGACACAGGATTTTCAAATATTGTCTTCCATTCTATACACTGCCTTTTATTCACTGAATAGTGTCCTTTGATAGACGAGAGATTTTAATTTGGCTAAGTCTCATTTATTTTTTCACCGATGCTTGTGCTTCTGGTGCCACATTTAAGGAATCACTGCCAAGACTAAGTCATTCAGATGTGGTCTCCCATGGTCTCTTGTAACCACATCATAATTCAAGCTCTTAAATTCAGATCTTTTACCCATTCTGAGTTAACTCAAGAAATGCAAGGGTCCATTTTCGTTCTTTTGTACGTGGACATGTCACTGCCCCAGTACTTTCTGTTGAAGCCACTGTCCTTACCCCTTCTGAATGGTCTTCACGCCCTTGACAAAAATCAACTCGGTAAAGATATACGAGCTTATATCTGCAATCTGAGTTCTTGGATTTTATTCTACTAGTCTACATCTAACCTTACGTCATGTTTTTTTTCATTGACTTTTCTGGCAAGTTCTGAAATAGGAACATGGGAGACCCCCAACTTAGTCTCCCTTTATGGGACTGTTTTGGCTATTCAGGCCTCTTACAGTTCCGTGTGAATTGTAAAATCTGCTTTTCCATTTCTGGCTTTAGTTAACTATACAAATGCTCTGCTTCTGTGTATCTCCTTCCCTCCACACCTCTATAGCATCACCATCAAAGATGACAAATTTCTGCATTACGAACCTGTTAACAGAAAATGTATTACCGTTTTATACATTTGTCTTTAAAATTGCGTAGAGAAAAACAGGAGTTACACACCAAAAATGCAGTGATGTTGGCCTTTGAATTTCCCTGTATTCCTTTTGTATTTTACCTGCACCAACGTTACCTCTTTGCGGCTTCAAGTTCCGGGCTAGCATCCTTTCGTTTCAGCCTGGAAGACGGTCTTTAGCTCCCTGCCTAAACATAATGAACCACCTTATCTTTTCAGTATCTGCGAAGGTCTCCATCTCCCCTTCATTCTTCAAGGGTAGTTTTGCCAGATCCAGAACTCTTTGTTAACAGCGTTTTCTTTCAGGGACCTCAAACTCGTCACCCCACTGCGTTCTGGCCCTCGGAGTTTCTAATGAGCAATCGGTTGTTAGTCTCACTGAAGACCCTTTGTACACCGCGTCCTTTCTCTCTTCCTGGATTCAAGAGTCTCCCTTTCTTTGGCTTTAGCAGAGAGAATATACTGAGTCTCTGGGCAGATCTCAGAGTTAGTCCCTACCTGAAACTCACTGAACTTCTTGGAAATGTAGATTCATGTCTTTTATCCAATCTGGGGTGTTCTGAACCATCACCTCTTCGTATCTTCTCTCTGCCCCTTTTCCTCTCTCTTTTCCCTCTGGGGCTGCTGTACCATGGATGCTGACGGTGCCCCATGTGGCCCTAGATTCTGCTCATTTTCCACTCTTCTTTCTGCTCCTCAGACTGGGTAATGTCATTAGACCAATCTCCAAGTTCGCTGATTTTTCCTTCTTCTGCTCACATCTGCCACTGGGCCCCTCATGTGAACTTCATTTCCGTCACAGTACTTTTCTGCTCCAGAACTTGTGTCTGGTTACTTTTGGTAATTTCTGTTCCTTTACTAACATTCTCTTTGTTGAGATAAACAGTTCTTCTGGTGCCCTTTGGCTCTTTGGGGAGGCACATTTAAGACACCTGACATTAAGTCTTTGTCCTAGTAAGCTGAATGTCTGTGCTACCTTGGGGATGGTTTCTGTCCATTTTTCCCCATGAATGAACCATACTTACTGTTTCTTTGCATATTCTGTAATTTTTTGATGATTCATTAGCCAAGTTTTAAAATGACCTTTTTTCTTTCACTTTAATTACTATATTATGGCGCAAAGAATGAGCAGAGATGGTAGAAGGGAACTTTACCATTAGGTTCCTAAGGAACACCAGGTTTAAAGTGCCTGGATCGGCCACACGAGGGCCTGCCGAACAGATGGAGAGGAGGGCTCGACAGTACGAGGCCCGTCAGAGCGCTGCAGTTACCTCTTGGTTCTATGGCTCTGGAGAAGGTGTCCAGAGTTGACTCCAAGAATCCCCCACATCCCCTTCTGTGTGTGAGGACTACCTTGCGATGCAGACTTCCAAAAAGCTTCGACAGCCTCTCAGGGACAGCGGGGTCAAGGGATCAGCAGAGAGAGGAGAGCAGCTCCATGAGGCAGCCTCCTCAGGACCCCGTGAGGCAGTTTCCCGTGAGGGGAGTTCCAGTCATCCCGCCAAGTCATCCCAGCCAATGGGCAGCCTCTAATGCTAATCTGGGAAGAACAGAGTCTGGGAGTTTCTTAACTTTGGTGTGCAAGTGGACGTGAGCGTCACACAGGAAGAGAGCAGAAAGCACATTCTTGGCCGGAAACAGACCAGGTCCTTTGTGCAACAGCCGGATCGGGTGAGAACGCCTCAATCATCACCCACGTGTGACCTGACCTCGGCCCTCGGCCCTCGGCCCTTGCCCCGCAGTGGGCAGGACACTGGGGAGACAGCAGCATGGCGGCAGGAGACAAGGCTCCGCAGCACAACGTCCCTGGGAGGCAGGAGCAGTGGCCAACAATGCCTCACAGTCACCATGAGACTGGCAACGGGCTGCTGAGTAGGGAGTAACCGGGGAGGGAAGCCCCCTCGAAAAGCCCTCGCGTCCCAGTGTTTAAACCACCCTGGGAGGGAAATGAGTTTCCTAGTACAGGATCTTAGATCTTAACGACAAAGGAAAGAGAAAAGAGCACGGCTCACTTCAGTGGGTCTGTCCTCAGACATCAGTTGGTCCTCTGCAGCAAAAAGTTAGCAAGTCTGAAGAGAATCGAGCTAGAAATTCAAATGGGCACAAATCTTAGCTTTGGGGCTCATCATCTCTAAGGACTCTGATTTGTCTCAACAGATTCAAAGTTCTACAGACAAAGATGGACACTTGCCAGGACCAAACAGCACAAGCACAAAGCGGGCACCAATCCCATGAGCCGCCCCCACCACCCCTTACCCCCGCCCCATAGGCAGGAGCCCCAGCCTGGCCAGCACTCACCCGGGAAGCACCACACGAGCACCAGGAGCTTTCCTGCTAGCGTGTCCTTCTGGAGGCTCTTGTCTAGCTTCAGCGGGCACAGGTGGACTCTGAAGATGGAGGCCCTGCCTCTGACGTCAGGGGTGCCTAGCGTGGACAGAGACCCACAGGCATGGCAGAGTCACCCGCAGCCACACTGCAAAAACTCTGCAGGACAGCCTGGGGCTCCAGGCAGCCTCCCTGCTGTGCCCATGCTTCACACTCGATCATTCAACCAGGCAGCAAGGACACAGAGCTCCCAAAGCTCACGTACACTAAGCCCCTGAATGCAGTAAAACACCCTCCAACTGCTGCCTCTGACCAGCACCAAACCCGATCCCAGGGCCGGGACCCACAGTGAACAAGACGAGGACTGCCCTGGGCAGCGGGGGTGTCCACACGGGATGGACGCTTTCTCACAGACGGAGAGAGCCAACTGTCGGAGGAAGAGACAAGGGTGAGCCCTTCTCTTCTAACCATTCCTACCGCACCGCGCCAAGAGCTGAAGAATAGGGTCTGCCGTACCACTCCCACCCGTATGGATGGAAGAGACGCGTCTGCAGGCCCAACCACGTGAGTTACTCCCACAAGTGGACCGCCAGGACACAGGCGCTGACAGCAGCCAAGGGCGTCCGTGAGCCTCCACTCTCTCCGAGTGTGAACATGAATTGCCACAGGAGCCTGATAAGGAAACTGCCTCCAAACACAAAGGTAATGATCTAACCTTTTAACCCAAGGACGTGAAGACCCAACCTGAACACCAAGTGACTGGCATACTCACCGACGTGAATCAGGCGGTCAGACAGGCCAGGCTGCGTCAGGGCCGGGTCGAGGACGACAGGGCAGCTGGTGCCAGCCGGCACCACAGTGCTTGTGGAGAGGCGAACCCTGGACATGAGAAGCGAGTGAGCCCAAGAAGAGAGCTCAGGCTGGTGTCGATGAGGACAGCACTGTGTTCCTAGCTCTCCTCCTCCCTCAGGCCCTGAGAGCAGGTCCTCTTCTGCACAGCTGCCTGTCCTTCCAGGTCCACTGGCCACCCTGAGTGGCCCTTCGCTGGCTCTCCCTCTGCTTCCTCCAAACTGAGAGCAGAGGCTGCTTAGCAGGGCACACGCTCATGCCCAGGGCTGGCTCTGAGAGCCTCTCACTCTGACCCTTCACAGGCAGGAACCCAGCAGCACACCCGTGGCTCTGGTACTGGCAGACCCCACTGCTCTGGCTGAGACACAGCCGTCAGAGAGTAACCAGACCCTCCTCAGCTAACAGGGATCTCCATGTCCTGGTCTCAGGGTGTGGACCCCCACCGTGCTTCACCACTGGTTCCTGACAGCCTGATGCCACCTGTTACCCCCCACCCAGGGAGTGAGGAGACCCTCCGCTGTGTCAGTGCCCCAGCCACCTCCCGAGGTCTCCATCCGGCCAGCCCTGCTGGACTTACAAGGAGCAGGCCTACTCCGGGGCAGGTCAGGCTGCTGAGAACAGGGATGGCCGAGAGAAGAAGTGCTGGTGCTCCCACCCACTCTCACCCCTGAATGGTCCCTCCCATCAGTCTTCTGAGATATCAGAACAGAATCATTATCAAATTAGAGCCACTGCTGGACACTGAGTATAATGGAAGATTCTGGAAATGTTTTGGTCTATGCAGAAAGAAAATAACACAGCAGGTCTAACTGTTCATCCTCTCAGGGTCAGCTTCCAAGGCAGCCCTCAGCGCACTCTGGGACCTGAGATTTGGGAGGGGCCGTCCATGCCTAGACGGCTGGTGCAGACAGTAGTGTTCACTGTGCGTCTCCTGTACCACCATCTGCGGGGATGGTGGTACAAACTAGGCACAGAGTGAAAATCTCGGGCAACCGCAACACCCGTGTGTCATTACAGCTCCACGAAGGGAGAGCAGCACCTCCCGCCCCGTGCTCAGGGAGGCTGCAGCCGACTTCCCTGACCACAGCCTTCCCTGCACAGATTTTGTTCTGGGTCGTCATCAGCCACAGTCATGGGTACGAGCACACCTGAGGTTCTGAGTGTCCTCCTAGTGAATCCCCAAACCCAGGGAACTGCCAGCAACCCCAAAGTGAAGATCAAAACTTGCCACCGGCCCCCTGAGAGCTTCTCCAAATTTGAAAAGTAGCATCAACACTAGACGTTTCCGGTGAAGCTTCAGCAGGCCTGACAAGCTCCCAGACACACTTGGCTGGAATCACTCTGAGGAAAAGTCTTAACCAAGAGGAGAGATTCTGGCACGAGGCAGGCCTACCCACTCATGTGATTCACCCCAGGAAGCAACACAGGCTCCAACCGCACCACCCTGTGGGCACTAAGGCCTAGGAGAGGAGGGGCAGGGGAGCCCCCATCTGGCCGGTCCACCTCCCCAACAGGACTTCCGCCACCACACCCTTGCTAACCCCTCCTGCTGGTGGGCCACAGGCAGGGTACGCGGGCCCCTCACCCAATCGCTGACTCCTGGGGCCAGTGTTGATCTAACACAGCTTTCTCTACTAACTCTGCCGGAAAGCAGCCTTCTAAAAACTGAACCATCAAGGATTCTCACCCAGGGAGTTTACAGGAACAAAAGGCTGGAGGAGGTTCTGGCGGTGCTGACGGCACAGGCCTGGTCTCAGCGGCTGTCCCTGGCATCCGCTCACCGTCTATCTCCACAAGCATCGGGTTCAGTGTGTTCTCCTGCTCATTCTGGGCTCCACGGTGCCCCTGGCCTTGCTTTCCGCCAATGGCATCAATCTCATCAATAAGTAAGATACAAGGAGGTTTTTTTGAGCCGCTGCAAACATGTTACGAACCTGAAATAGGAATTCACATGGAGAGCTGGTTTTGCCGCTTGTATGAAAACAAGTGCGGGTGTGTGCTAAGCCAAGTCCCTCCTCTGGAACCCCACCCTGATCTGGTATCTGTGGCAAGCTCTGTGCTCACTGCCAGGGCCACACAAAACGCATCCACCTACCCTTGCTGGCCCATGCCAACCAACATTTCCAGGAACTGTGGCCCACTCACGGTGATGAAGGGCACACCGGCCTCCCCCAGCCACTCTGGCAAGAAGCGTTCTGCCAGTACCAAGAAGACTCACAAGCGCCGCTCCCTGAAACAGAAAGGTGATGCCGGTTCTTCAAGGGAACAGATGGAACCCAAAGAAAGTCCCATTTGTGCATACACATGCAACAGGTGACTTCTAGGCGTCACTACCAAGGATCCCACAAGATGATGCACCAGTCAGAGTCTGGGATTTTCCTTTCAATAACTTCTGCTTAGAAAATTAATGCATGCTTACCATAGAAAGTTCAAACATTGCAGATACATGAAAGCCCATCCGGCTAAGCAGGTCATTTCTTCACGATAGCTCCTAGGCACAAGGCTTGCTGGATCAAAGGGTCTGAATGTGTATTTTAAGTTACTGTCCAAGTGCTCTACAAAAGAGTGACACTGTTTCTCACTCCCACCAGGAAGAACAAGAGCCCAGCCGCTCACATCGGAGGCCACAGCCTGTCTGCACAGCTTCAGCACTGGCTGGTCTCAACAGCAAAAATGCCGACTCAGGCACTTTGGCCGCTGCCCGGCCCAACCACGGACATGACACTGTGTCTTCCTGTCTGTGACCTGCCTTCTCCAGAGCTGACTTAAGGTATTGGTTTTTTTTAAAGATTTTATTTGACAGAAAGAGAGACAGCGAGAGAGGGAGCACAAGCAGGGAGAGCAGCAGGCAGAGGGAGAGGGAGAAGCAGATTCCCCAGTGAGCAGGGAGCCCGACGCGGGGCTCAATCCCAGGACCCTGAGATCATGACCTGAGCCAAAGGCAGCCGCTTAACCGACTGAGCCCCCCAGGGGCCCCGACTTAAGGTTTAAAATCATCAATCTGCACTCTGGTAACACACCTCAGTGCTCACTTTATGGATTACCACCATGCCTGAAAACTGAAGAGACCGGAAGCAGGGAGCTTCTACTGCTCCATCTCTAGTCAAGGGTGCAGGGTAGCATCTCATCACCTCAAAAGAGACCATAAGCTTTATTTTTTAAGTCTTCTGGAACCAAGACAAAATACTCATGAAAAGGTAGGAGAACGGGAGTCACAGAACTCAAACCCACAACATGGTGTTGGACCCCACGTCTCCACGAACACGGATGAGGGATTCAGAGTCTGCATGGGTCCATCTCTGCCTGTCGTGTGACCACGCGCATAGCCAATTCTTCTAGACGAGGAGGCACATGTGCCCACATCTACTGTAGGTCATTTTAGGAAGTCGTCCAACTTCACACTCAGGAGGAGCTGAAAAGCCACGTGGGCGCCAACACCCTCAGCCCCACACATAAGGACAGAGCCCAGCTAGGGTTAGCGCACTCCGGGTGACCTGCCCGCCCCGCCCACTCCACAGTACACACAAGCGGCCCGACATCCTGAAAGGGAAAGCCAAGCCATCCACTGCAGAGCCAAGGTGAACAGCAGCTGGGCTGGGTGCAGGACCTACACCTCTGCCGCACACACGTGCTTGCCGGCTGACACTCCTCAGACTACAGACCAGAAACGCAACAGCCCACCCTCTAGCCCCGGGGCTCACCGTGGTCCAGAATTTGTTGCTGTTCTTCAGAACAAACTGTCCAGAGGCAACTACCCCATGGGGAGGAGCTGAAGAAAGCCAGAGCTCCTGCAACAGCCTGTGGGCTAAGCTTCGACTCCAGGGCTCTTTGCTTGGTCCACAGTCCAGGCACTACTGACGGGTCTGCGAGTTGATCTCCTGTAAAATGGAAATCCTTCTGGGAAAAGGACTCCCAGTTTATCAGGCTTCCCAAGGGTCCGTGACACCAAAAGGCAGCAGGAGAAAGACCCCACAGCCAGAATCACTCCATCTCCTCTATGCAATGCCCAGACCCACACCCACACCGCACCTCCATGCCCAGCACGGTCAAGAGCTTACCACGAGGCAGATATATCCGATCCCAACCCTTTTATGCACATTGTACTTGCTATTGTAATGATGTTACTTGACATTGTGTAAGCTAATAAAACAGAAGTAAAAAAAGGTTGCTTCTTCAAAACTAAGTAGGTGGCTTTGGATAATAAAGCAATAAAGGCAAAAAGCTAAAAAAAAAAAAAAAGTCAAACTGAGTGAGAAAGTTCTAAAAGTAAAAAAGGTCATAAAAATACAGAAAATATACTCAGCTTGCTTTAAGTTCTCACTTCATTTAGAGGAAGAAAACTGTAGATAACATGTGCTTTTTTTTTTTGCTTTTTTTTTTTTTGTGTGTGTGTGTGGAGAACGTTTATGCAGGACATTTAACAAAAGACTTCTGTCACTGGAACCAAACTGGAGGGAAGGGCTGGCCTGGAAAAGACCAATAAAGGGATATGCTTGTGCATTCAGTGAACCCAAACACAACTCTCACACAGGTTTATACTGTTCCCAGGACACTAGAGTCTCACGGTTCAAAAAAGTGAACTCCCTGTGGTTTCAATCAGACCATTCTGGCCTGACAGATGCTACTTCCCGTGACTGATGAAATACACACTCTCTACCAAAAGCTAAGTGGTCCCGCATCTGTGCACACTGAACCATACTGAGCTCTGGCTTTGACTTGGCACTCAGAGCACTATCACATTTTCTGAGATCAGTTCCTCTGGAATTTTGACTCCTAAGTCCTGATACTGCTTGGGATTCTCCAGGAAATTCACAAACTCCATAATCTCCAACTTGGCCTCTTCACAACCAACTACATCCAAAAATCGCATGTCCACACTGTTCCTCAAGACCCTGGGCAGTTGTCTCCCTAGCACGGATGAGGCCCCCTCAGGACCCGCCACACCCAGCCCCCATGAGGACCTTCCTCACAACACAGAGGAGGATACCCCCTAGGAGAAGGCAGGGGGCACCAGGCTTTACAAGAAAGAGCTAGAAGATCCAAGAAAACCATTCGTCAGTTTCCTTGGGAGAAAGGCTGTGAAGAGCAGAATGCTTTGATGTCTGGTTCTGCCGTACAAGGGAGCAGTTTCCTCTACAAAGGAGCAAAGCCTGGGGTCACCTGGGTGGCTCAGTAAAGCAGATGACTTCAGCTAAAGCTGTGATCTCGGGGTCCTGGGAGTATGCCCCAAGTCAGCCCCCAGTTAGGCCAGCAGCCCCTGCATTCAACAGGGAGTCTGCTTTCCCTTCCCCTCTCTCTGTCTGCCCTTCCCCCAACTCGTGCCCTCCTCTCTCTCTCAAATAATCGTTTTCTAAGCTTTTTTTTTTTTTTTTTAAGATTTTATTTATTTTGACAGAGAAAGAGAAGGAGGGAGAGAGAGAGAGAGCACAAGCAGCGGGGAGCGGCAGGCACAGGGAGCCCGATTTGGTTCTAAGCCAGGACCCCAGATCATGACCTGAGCCGAAGGCAGACACTTAACTGACCAAGCCACCCAGGCGCCCCTCAAATAAATAATCTTAAAAACAAAAACAAACATGTCCGAGCCTAGACACAGCATGCAGCCCTCCCCCCGTCCTGAGGCTCTCAGCCCACACACGTCTGTCTGCCCAGTCTCACCTGGAATTGGCCTGTGGGGTTGGGAGGATGGCCCCCACCAGACTCAGCACAGCCTCCTCTCAGCAGAGCCCTACCCAGCCTGTGATAGTGTGTCTTTAACACTGCCTTGCTAAGTGTTTCCCCCAGCCAACTCTTTCCTCGATAAAAACAGAGTTAATGCTGACTACACACTGAACCAGCAGACGCCTATAGTACATGCTTAAAGGAAGTGAGCTCCACAGCCCATCAGGCACTGAGCTGTTCCCCAGACTGGAGCCCCTGCCGCTCACCCGCCCTTCTCGGCGGTAGAGACCCTTGCCGCCGGGCTGGGGGCTTCAGCACCAGCTCCCATAAGCAGCCTCCAGGCTCACTCCCAGGTGTCAGCACCGCCGATGCTGGGCCACACAAACTGCCCCAGGACCCAAGAAGCGAGAGCAGATTCAGGCGGCCGTCCACAGCCGTGGCCTCCTCCCAGCTCCTCCTCCTTCAACAGAGCTGGAGTCTAGCCTCTGTCGCAGCCCCCAAACCAGAGGCTCTGGTTTGGCGTGAATGACAAGCCCCAACAACCACTCAACTTTGCCTCCGTCCCTTCCTTCTTGTCCTGATGGTGTTCTCGCCACCTCAATCTTGGCTCGTGGTTCTCACGTGTCACTTGACAAACCGAATCACAGTGACGAGTCCTACACTGGGACAGTGCCCATCTTGGAACACGGCTACAGAAGCCTGCCGAAGCACTAAAACACTACTGTCACACAGGCTGCTATTCAGTAGTGAAACCAGGAGATGCATTCTTCGGAAAAAAACCAGAAAACTATACTTTACATGAAAAAAGCAAAAACGGGCGTCTTCTTCCTGGCTTGTCTTCGGCGTTTTTGTTCGTAGAGCGGCCAATGGCAAGATGTCTTCGGGAAATGCCAAAACTGGGCATCCCGCCCCCAACTTCAAAGCCACGGCTGTTATGCCAGATGGCCAGTTCAAAGACCTCAGCCTATCTGACGACAAAGGAAAACACGTTGTGTTCTTCTTTTACCCTCTTGACTTCACCTTTGCATCCCACGGAGGTCACTGCTTTCAGTGACAAAGCAGAAGAATTTAAGAAACTCTACTGCCGGGGCGCCTGGGGGGGCCCAGTGGGTTGAGCCTCTGCCTTCAGTTCAGGTCATGGTCCCACGGTCCTGGGATCGAGCCCCGCATCAGGCTCTCTGCTCAGCGGGGAGCCTGCTTCTTCCTCACTCTCTGCCTGCCTCTCTGCTGCTTGTGATCTCTGTCTGTCAAATAAATAAATAAAATTTTTAAATAAATAAATAAATAAATAAAATATTAAAAAAAGAAAGAAAGAAAGATAGAAACTCTACTGTCAAGTGATTGGTGCTTCTGTGGATTCTCATTTCTGTCACCTGGCATGGATCAACACACCCAAGAAACAAGGAGTACTGGGACCCATGAACATTCCCTGGGTATCAGACCCCAAGCGTACCACTGCTCAGGACTATGGAGTCTTAAAGGCTGATGAAGGCATCTCATTCAGGGGCCTCTTTATCACTGATGATAAAGGCATTCTTAGGCAGATCACTGTAAATGACCTACCCGTCCGGCCGCTTGTGGATGAGACTCTGCGACTGGCTTAGGCCTTCCAGTTTACCGACAGGCATGGGGAAGTGTGCCCAGCTGGTTGGAAGCCTGGCAGTGATACCTTCAAGCCTGATGTCCAGAAGAGCAGAGAATATTTCTCTAAGCAGAAGTGAGCGCCGGGCCATTTTAGGGCTGGGCTGCAGTGGGTGGCCATGAAACCAAAATCTCTTTTGTATTATTGTCATGCTTAAAACACAAGACTTTCAACTTTGTGCAGATGTCGTACGGGACGGGACAGGCCTTTCGTGCAGGGACTGGGGAGACCAGCCTTTCTTCCTCTGGAGAGAATGGCCTGAACTGTGTTACAGGGCAGGCCAACTGCGATGTACAGTAGTAGGGCAACACTTCTGATCTTCTGTTGTTTCTATTAAACCTGAACTGAGAAAAAAATAAAAATTAAAGTTAAAAAATTAAAAAGCAAAAACAAAAAACACCCTACTGCAGGACCGTTTACCCCTGAACCTGCCCCTCACCTCAGATGCTGTCCCAAGGGCAGGAATGACAGGCACAAACCGTTTGTCCATGTAAGACAGAGAACAGCAGAGGTGACACACAGGGCACTGAGCAGCTAACCACGGGCCTCCATGCTCAGTCACAGCCTACAGGCACAGCCCACAGCTCTGTCGTGGCCTGTATTCGGCAGACAGATGGATGTCGGCTGTCACTCTCCTCATAACAGGAACGCTTTCAGCCAGCAATATGAACCTATTTCCATTTTGATATACAGAAACCAATTCAGGAGCAGGAATGGAAGCCTGGTATGTCCAGGCGTTAAGACTGCATACTGCCGGGTGCCTGGGTGGCTCAGTCGGTAAGGCCTCTGTGGACGGCTCAGGTCATGATCTCACAGTCCTGGGATCAAGCCCTGCACTGGGCTTCCTACTTGGCAAGGAGTCTGCCCCCTGCCCTGGCTCGTGCTCACTCCCCCTCCCTCCCTCTCTCCATCTCTCTCTCTCAAATAAATATGTATTTTTTAAAAATCCAAAAGGCAGGGCGCCTGGGTGGCTCAGTGGGTTAAGCCTCTGCCTTCGGCTCAGGTCATGATCCCGGGGTCCTGGGATCGAGCCTCACATTGGGCTCTCTGCTCAGCGGGGAGCCTGCTTCCTCCTCTCTCTCTCTCTGCCTGCCTCTCTGCCTACTTGTGATCTCTCTCTCTCTGTCAAATAAATAAATAAAATCTTAAAAAAAAATAAAAATAAGTAGATAAAAAATAAAAAAAATAAAAATCCAAAAGGCATGCAAACAGTCTTACACTAAGTACGGTGCCATGTTACAGCCAGAGCGGATTCAGGAACCTTCCGTCCGCCCAATGGCAGCCACCACAAGAAAACAGTGCCAGGGAGAAGGAAAATTCGGTCCCAAAGGCCCACAAGCTACCCCCAGCCATCTACAAGCAGACATGCCCTTCTGGGAAGCTCTTCAAAGACACAGTTCAGGGGCGTGCCCCGTTTCATTTTGCTATTCATTTGCTCTCAAAAGCATCTCAAACCACTACAACATAGCTCTTTCTGAAAAGTAAGTAAATACTCAGGGTTGTGTGATGAGGACGTGTTCCCAGCTCCAGCATCTCATGACTACCCCACAAAGCTCAATGGTCCATTGTAAAGCCTAGTACTCGCGAAAGAAGGTCCTCAAAGAAACCCAACAGCTCAGCTTCTGACACAAACTCCCCAAGAGGTAAGACCCCAACAACCCTCACACTCATGAGACAAGAGCTGGGGGCATCCTCACAGCCCCCCTCAGGCTCCAGTCTCTTTCTGTCTGGATCACTCCCCAGGTGACCTGTCTTAATTTCTCCAACACAGCACACTATCATCTGTGTGTACAGCTCAACATGGGGAAGCCTGGGACGCAGGGGACAAAACAGGCAAGGAGGGTCACAATAAAAGCTCACCCTCACTTAGTGCAGAATGCTCCTTCTTTATACTTTTATTTATTTCCCAAATATTTTTTGTCATAGGCATGAAATATATTTTAATTAGATAAAACAGCAAAGCTATTTTAAATCAAAGATTGCTGCTTAAGTTTCGGGATACTGTAGTTTCTCATTCCCAAATAAGCCCTTCACAAAAGGCTATCTGTTCCAGATCATGGGCGTGGAAACGCGTCAAGGGCTCAGGGGTGGCTGTGCGGAAATTTCCTTACTTCTGGGACACGCTGTGAGATCACAACTCCGGAGGGGGCAGAGGGCCGGGAGACAGTGCAGCAAGCCCCCCACTCCCGGCTGGACGTTCCCAGCCCACACGACAGTTCCTCCAAGTACGCGGGAGAGGGCACGTGGACGGAGCCTGGGGAGAGGCTGCCACCACTGTGCACCAGAGGGACTGAGCACAGGACTGCATGAGGCAAGCCGGGGAGGGAACACTCCACCCTCCAGTCCTCGGCCTGTGCCTCAGAACAAGCAAGCCACTGTCAGCCGTGCCAGACCTCAGCGGAACTCTGGAATCCATCCAGAACACAGACGGGGAGGACCCCTGTCTCACCCCTCCTCTCCTGCAGGAGGCAGGCCCTTGGGAGACAGGAGTGGCAGCTACCATTCCCCTCCCCTGTAGGGAGCAAGGGCCTCTCTGAGGACAGACACGTGGACAGACAACAAAGACCTCAACCGTAATGCCTGGTGGGAAACCATGGTTTCCTACAAACACCATCACATAGGATTCCTGATCTTAACAGTGTGGTGTTTAGGGTAGCGGGCAAAGGTGGACCAAGCCCTCTGCTCCCCCTGAGGTTTACACTCACTTCGCCCATGCTCAGCACCCCAGAGAAGCGGAAGGCGCTGCCAGCCCGCACAGAGCCTGGAGTCGACAGTCGGGTCTGTCCTGCTTGGGGGCGGCAGCGCAGGACGACATGTCACAGCCAAGGAACGAGGAAGTCAGGCCGTGGTGTGAAAGGGACATGCACCCGGGAGGAAAGTGGGCATGACAGTGTTCAGTAAGGTAGTTCCTGGAAGAAGTCCAAGGGTGTCTCGTCCATACCCCAAGGCTGGGGCTTCTCAGGGCTAGAACTTGCAGAGCACATGCACGTGCACACACCACAGGGGTAAACAGACTGTAAACTCCCCTCGCCAGACCTCTTGCCAGGGACCACCGCACGACGTGCTTCCAGGTGATTTCCTTCCCAGAATCCAGCCACTGAAAAGTCCCATGGCAACACCAGCCCCCAAAACACCAGACTGCGGAAATCCTTGTCATCCCCAGGGAACACCCCCGTGGGACAAGAGAACACAATTCTACGGTGCGACAACAGCTTCATCAAACTGTAATTTCCTTCTTCAGACATTATGAAAGACATCAACCAAACACGCCATCCTCACACTCCACCACCGGACCTCTGTGTGGGTGAAGTCAAAGCCGGTCCTGGTGGGAAAGGCATCTGCGTGGTCCGCGGGAGCACACCAGAAGCAGCAGCTCAGCACAACACCCAGGAAAAGCAGAACCTCCGCGAAGAGCCA